GTCAGGATCTTCGAGATCCCAGGACGAAATATTAGTTTTAACATTGCTGGTTTTAAGCTGTCAGTCAACCAATAGTGGAGATCCGTAATTTTCAATACTTATCATATCTGCAGTAGTAATAGTCGGAAATATCGACTTGTTTTTTCGAATCTGACTATCTGGGGTCTGGAAAGTACAAATGCATCGGTGCGTATATATGCACTGATTTTCTCATCACCGGTCGAATAGATGATATTTCATCAGCATACTCGGGTTATTGAGAATAAGTGTGTTAGAAGTAACAAAATATCACATTATGGTTCTAAACATGAAAAACTCACGTCTTGATATTCTGCAAGTGGGAGCAAATAGGCAATGGAGAGGCGAATCTTCATCTCCACAGTCAAGTTGCTCAACTGAAAGCCGCCTAGCAGACTATTTATGCCAAGTTCACGTCTAGAAGGAGTAGCTAATTTCACCCTGTAAGGGTCACTCGACGAGGAACGTACCTGCGGATATTTCAGTTTTCAACTGTGAAGTGTAATCGGCTAACCGATTAACTACCACCGGAATCTGTACACATGATTAATAAGAGTGACTGAACGGAAAACTTTACATACCAATTGCATATTCTTTTGACGAGTAATGTACAACAACTCCGTATTGTCCAGAACGGAACCAAGAAGAAACAAAGCGTAACAGTTGGTTGGTTCACATTCACTCATCGCCAATTTGTACAAAGCGTTGATGGTGGTATCCTAGCAAAATTAAAATACGTGCATTGCGCTTACCTCTTCATCTAAGGTGAATGATAATGTTACACCCAATCTCATTGCGCATAACAGCCGGGAGGCAGCAACAACCAGACGGTCGGTTGGGTCATTCGACCCGACTAAGTACACGAAAGTGACTCTTTCGAGAAACGATTCGTGAGTGGAAAGTGAACGAAGCAGCTGACCCAGATCGCAGCTGGAATCGGTTCGCAGGGGGTGACGATCATCAAATGGGTCTGGATCTGTGCTGAAAAATATGTTAATTTGTTCTTCCAATAGTTCTGATAGTTGAATTAGCAGAGGAACTGGGTCAAACGAGGGTGAATTCCTTTCTGCTCTCCACTGAGACATTAGGTCATCACATCGCTCGATTGCGGAGCGTGTATCACGTGTTATCTCTTCGCTCATTTTCGCTTGTTCTACATGGGACAAATGAACCTATGAAAGTAAAAAACGAAGGTTAACAGCATCGTATAGCCGAAAGATTGAGGTCAAAATACGATTGAAGCCAATCAACTGGACAAATCATGTGACTATCTATCCCATGAATGTCATCATGGTTGCCGATTTCTCTTAGTGGTTGATTTGGACGGTGGTTTCAATAATTCGAATTATCTATTGCGTAACAGGTAAGCAACCTTTAATAGTGCACGTTCGCGAATGAATGTGGTCATGAAGAGCCCAACTTTGACTAACACAATAACAGAGAAGATAGTCGCCAAACCGACTCCCAAGCGGACTGATTTGAATGATTAAAGACAACCGCTTACCCAGAAATCCGAAAGGCATCAGCCTAGGACCATATAAGAAAATCCCACTCACAAAATGCAGAGATCGAGAAAACCATTACTATCATTATTATTGTATATATTATCATTA